ATTGGAGCACTCCTTTGTGCCTCGGGCTGGAGTTTGCGTGTATGTCAGAGAGGACATCTGTTCTCGACGTCTCGGCAGTCTTGAAGGTTCGAACCTGTCCATCCTTTGGCTACGCGTAGACAGCGACGACCATCCACGCGTCTACGGGTATCTCTATAGGTCCCATAGCGGGGTAATGCCGAAACAGACCGACTCATCGACCACGTCCAAATGGCTACAGATTCCTTGCTACAACAGGTCCCATCCGCAGAGATCGTGATCCTTGGCGATTTTAACGCCCACAATGCCGAATGGCTCGGTTCACGTTTAACCGATCATGCGGGGAGATCTTTTTATGACTTTGCTTTGGCATATGGTCTGACACAACTGGTTACTTCGCCTACGCGGATTCCAGATGTGGAGGATCATACACCTTCCCTGTTGGACCTTCTGCTCCTGACAAATATCAGGTTTCCGTCGATGCCCCTCTCGAATCTTCGGACCATTGTCTGATCCGGAGTGTGGTGCCACTCACGCTCCCCTCGCGGTTGCGTTCTGCAGGTTGCCGCCGTGTTTGCATTACAGGTCGGCGGATTGGGACGGAATGCGGTCTTTCTTTGCATCCTACCCATGGGTGCGGGTTTGCTTCTCGCCGGATGATCCCAGCGCTGTTGCTGACTTTGTCACTGATGTGGTGCTACAAGGAATGGAACTATTTTTTCCATCATCTGTGGTACCCATCGGAGGCAGATCTCAGCCTTGGTTTGGTCGCTCCTGTAAGACTGCATTACGCATTAAGCAGGAGTGTTATCAAGCCTGGGCTGCGACTTCGGCGACTCGGGATGTAAACACCAGCATGCTTAAAAAGAAGTATAACTTCGCCTCCAGGTCCTTCAAAAGAATTAGCATATAAGGCAAAGTCAGAGCACATAGGCAGAATTGGCGAGAAACTAGTTCGCCTTCCTTCGGTAACCCGTGCATTCTGGTCTCTCGCCAAGGCTGTCTAAGGGAATTTCTGTAAGCCATCACAACCATCTCTGCACAGGGAGGACGAGTCACTGGCTCACGCAGCAAAAGACAAAGCCGACCTTTTAGGCTCCCTTTTTGCGTCCAACTTGACTCTTGATGACGGAGAGAACACACCGCCGACCATCCCGCGGTGGGAGTGCTCCATGCCGGATGTGCGGTTCTCACAGCGCTCGGTTCGCAAAGCACTCCTCTCCCTGGAACTCCAAAAGTCGAGTGCACCTGACGGAATCCCCCCAATTGTGCTGAGGACGTGTGCTCCGGAGTTGGCACCGGTTCTAACGCGTCTATTCCGGTACTCCTTGTACCTAGGCGTAGTCCCGAAATCCTGGAAGACAGCTTTTGTCCACCCGATCCCTAAAAAAGGCGACCGTTCAGACCCGTCCAACTACAGGCCTATCGCCATCACCTCCTTGTTCTCCAAAATAATGGAATCCATTATTAATTGCCAGCTCATGTGGTAGCTTGAGGATCACCAGCTGATTAGTGACCGCCAATACGGTTTTCGTCGGGGTCGATCAGCTGGTGATCTTCTGGTCTACCTGATTCATAGATTGGCGGAGGCAGTAGAGTCCAAGGGGAAGGCGTTGGCCGTTAGTTTGCACATTGCGAAGACCTTCGATCGGGTTTGGCACAAAGCGCTTCTTTCAAAGCTCGCTTCGTCAATTCGTTCAATTTGTGCAACTGGATCAGCAGTTTTCTTGCAGATTGGAGCAACTAAGTCGTATCAGAAGGTGCATGCTCCATTTACAAGCCTATTTATGCTGGTGTTCAATAAGGCTACGTGCTATCACCTACACTGTTTCTTCTGCTTCTGAATAATATGTTGCAAACCAGTAACGATTACAACGATTTATTATGGTAGACTCTTATAATTTTGTGAGATACCTATTTAGAAATATTAATATTATTAGACAAAATATTTTGCTACTTCATATATTATATTTTATAAGTTTGTACATAAAATTTATTTCTATTAAGTTTACTTTGTAAACGGTTAACTGATGGGATGGTGTTAATTATATTAAAAAGGCTGATGGGATGGTGTTGTTTATGTTTACTACGTTTTAGCATATAAATTAGTTTTATAGCATACCTTACTTTTATATTTTATATATAATTTTGCTTAGTGTTTTTTTTTGTATATTTATTTAATTTATGTATTATTATCTTAATCTATGAATTATGTCTGATTTTGAGTTGTTTAGCTCTGCAAATGATTCTTCTGACATATCATTTTACTCTTGTGATGATTCCTTTACCGACAGTGCGCTTGATTTACATCAACTACTCAAAGAAGTTTTTAAGCCTTTTAACAACTCTCTGAACATATGTCACATAAACGCTCAAATCCCTCCCGTCGCCTGAATGATATGTTAAAAAATAGATCCTATTACGTGCCTCTATATAAATTTATCAACAATACAGTGGGGAAATTATAATAAACCGAATAAAAATACGCAAAACTTGGCTTAAAGTTCTAGATACCAGGTCATAAACTCCAAAAAAAAAATAAACGCTCAAAGTATCCCGAGCCACTACACCGAACTCGAAGCTTCATTTTCACCCGAGCATATTCATGCCATATTAGTGTCGGAAAGTTCACTAAAGCCTTCTTTACCGTCAACTTTATATCCCCTACCCGGCTTTGTACTTGTTAGGAATGATTGGATTGGAAAAGGTGGAGGTGGTGTAGCCATTTACCTACACGCATCAATTCCTCATAAAATTGTTTTAGCATCTCCTTCCTGTTACTCTGCCTCTTCTGAGTTTTTATTTTTGGAACTTGATGTCAAGGGTATAGGGATGTTTCTAGGGGTAGTGTGTTGCCCCACTTTGACAGACTACTTCGCCACTTTAGATATGGCTCTTGTTGATATTTGTTCTGAGTACGCACATTGTATAATCATGGGTGACTTCAATACAGATTTTTTGAAAAACTCTCCTCGTTCCAAAAAACTTCTTTCAATTGTTGAGTCGGTTAATCTTTCTATTCTTTTTTTAAAGGCTACTCATCACAATATTGGCACCGATGACTCATTGATTGTCTTATCTTTGCTGCTTCTCCTGATCGTGTGATGATGTGACAGTTACCTGCTTTGGGCATCTCACGTAATTACTTGATTTATGCTTCGTATAAGCTTAAACCTCCCAAATATTCCCCTTCTGTACTGCATCTGCGCAGTTTTTCTAAAATAGACTTTGACAAGCTAAGGGATGATGCTCTTAGTCTCGATCTAACCTCATTTATTGCAGCACCTACTGTTGACGATAAAGTCTCTATCCTTAACCAAAATATTCTCAGCCTTTATGATGCTCATGCCCCAGTTCACAAGGTTAGATTGAAGCGTTCTCCAGCCCCATGGACGACAGAGGGCGTAAGGTTGGCAATGACTAGACGTAATCGAGCTTTTCTTCGTTTTAAGAAAGCACGTAATGAAGAAAATTGGTTATCTTTTAAAGCAGCCAGGAATATAGGTGCAATCAAATGGTACGGGCAGCTAAACGCCGATATTTCCATAATTGTATTAACAACTCTTCTCCCGCCGAAGTGTGGAAATTTCTTGGATCTTTTGGTCTTTGCAGGCCAGCTACATTGGATTGTGGTCCTTCTCTATCACTTGATGAAATCAACCAACATTTCGCTTCTGTAACAGCAATGGACCCTACGATTCGCTCTCAAACTGTGGCTTCCATTGCTTCTGTGCCAATTCCTAATACTGATGTCAAAAAGTCTATTTTAGCAATTCAGTCCAAGGCGGTTGGTTATGATGAGATTAGTAGACAAATGGTAATATTTATACTAGAGCACCTACTTCCGGCAATTTCCCATCTTATAAATTTTTCCCTTGATTGAGGTCAGTATCCTAATCTTTGGAAAAGGGCTTTTATAAAGTCCCTCCCAAAAGTTCGTACAACATACATATACAGATAGTATATGTAGTTTAGTTTTAGTTAGGTGTAGTTATTATTCTATATATTTTTATAAACTTTATTACCTCCATCTTCAATTGCTCGTATCATCTGTATGCCAATGACCTTCAGCTACGAGTATACGTGCAAGCTGAAATAGGGGATATCCATAATGGGATTAAAAAATTAAATAACAACTTATCAGCTATCAAGGATTGGTCTACTCGTTATGGAGTGGTCAATCCTTCGAAATGCCAAGCTATACTGGTGGGTAGCTCAAGGATGCTAGCCAAGATTAATCTTGTAGATATACCCCCATCTATTACAATGGGATTACAATACCGTTCAGTAAGTCTGTAAAAAATCTTGGCCTACATATTGACTGCACGCTGAATTGGAGAACTCAGGTTACTGAAGTCAGTCGTAAAGTCACTGCCACGTTACGTTCTCTGTATTGTTTAAAACATTTTCTCCCCACAAAGTCTAAGATCATGCTTGTCCAATCGCTCATATATAAGTATGTATTTAATGTAAGTCCACAGATATGTTATGCCTACTCAAAACCCATTTTCTTTTTTTTTCTTTTATGTTTCACAGTAAGTGAGTGTATACTCTTTTGGGAAATAAATTTCTTAAACCTCATTTCCGTAATTCAAAAACAGGATAAAAGGTTCTAGCTTAACCCTGACAAACCTCCTAAACTGAAAACATAATTAAAATCAAGTACTCGACGTTACTTTTTAATACTTACTTGACCAAATTGACATATTTGCGTTTCGTTATACGCAATTTTTAGTGAAATTTATTTTTATCGTAATTAATTCAAAACGCATTTCCGACATCTAAATACAGTGTAAAAGATTCAAACTTAACCCTGATAAGCCTCCTAAACTGAAAAGATAATTAAAATCAAGTACCGGACGTCTATAGCCTAACCCTTTGTTTTTGTTTCAGGTAACATTATACATGTCTAATACTAATAGTAATATTTTAAAATTTAATAAATGGGAACACTTCACTTGACTGCTTGCAAGTGACAAGTGTTCTGAAGTCGTGAAACATTGAACTATTACAGCCAAAATATGGCGAAAAGAATAGCTCAGAGCTCGATAAACTGGGCTGCACTGGCTGAGAGGGTCCCTGCGGAGCAGAAAGGCCATCTTGCTGCTTTCAAAGTCAAGTCCGATGGATATCTTCGCAGGTTAGTATTTGACAGCGATGTTACATAATTTTTATCATGTATTATATTTCATGCTGTTTTTTATGATTATCACAATATATTATAAGTATATTCGTCATTAGGATAAAACATTAACACATAAACCATTTTCTTTGGTACGAATTTTTTTTGGAACGAAATATCTAACCTTGTGGTATAATAGTATCACTTCTCTTCAGTATATACCCACCTATCATTTTAATAAAGTTATCTTAGTTTATATCAGTGCTTGATTTATTATCTTAACATTTTTATCCAAATTTAAATAGTTGAAAAATTTCAGAGTCCTGGCAAATCCTCCAGAGCCTCCCAAGATCAACTGGAACCTATACAAGCAAACGGTGCCCATCCCTGGTATGGTGGAAAACTTCCAAAAGCAATATGAAGCTCTGAAAATTCCATACCCAGCAGATACTATGACTGCGCAGGTGGAAGCTCAATGGCAACAAATCAAAAAGGCTATTGATGCATTTGTGCAAGAGTCCAACACAAACATTGCTTCGTAAGTAATTGTTACTATTGTTCGTACTTCACTGGTCTGTAAAATGTACCACCGGACATGGACTTCTCCCATTGTAGAAAAGATTGGTCGTAATTTTCATCTCACATTAACTAGATGGTTATACTAACAACCATCATAAGATCTAAGTCATAAGATTTTTCTGACATATCCTAGTCTGCAGTTATGACACCCATTAATGAAATGGGGTGATAAGTCCTCTTATGCCACAATCACAAATCACAACTTTTACTGTCACTAACATATAACATATAAGATACAGTGTAGTGGCGGTGTAAGAATATTCACTACCCGAAATAGAATATGCCATGGGTGTTGTAAAAGGAGACAGAGGGAAACTAGAACAGGAGATGGGCAGCATCTTAATGATAACAACTCAAAATAATAAAAACTGCCATTGCCGATTGTGGCAACTATGGCAAAATCCTCCTACTGAAGCAATCTTTGGGGAAGCCTATGCTCAGCAGTTGTGTTTTTTTTTTTTGATAACATATGTATTATGATAATTTTAGTGTTAAATACTAGTAAAACTTAAGTAGTTAAATAATTCTTCATATAGTTATAGTTACGATTTAATAGTGACAACTCTAGTTAGTGTAAATTTAACATCTGCTTATAAAGATAAAAAATAGTACAGGAAAAATTTATTCAAGAAATGCATGAAAATCTTCTCCTAATAAGTTTTTTTTAAACAATCACATAGTTTGCTATATTATTATAGTAATATTTTTAATATTCTAATTAAATACAACATTTAGTGATGTTTCTAGTGATTTAATGTAGAGGGTGTGAATTGAAAACTATAATTTTTTAATTATTATCAAAAGGAGTGTAAATTGATAATAATTTTTTAGGAAAGCTGTAGTTTCTAGTTTATTTTAGTATAGTATTTTCCCATTGATGGGCCAATCATCTGTTATATAAATTTTTTAGGAGAAAATAGTTTAGCTCCACTTCAAATTTGTCAATTGGTGATGCATCTTGTGTCCATTAGCCCACCTGTGTTAATTGTAATAGAGAAAGCTCTATAAAGTTAAAGCTGCATTGTCACTTCTGAAAATGAGATGTAATGCTCAACAGAGCGCAAACATTGCTATGTGGTGGCAGAATTAGGTAAGGGTGGTATATACCCAGACACACTATAGATAAAAGGTAGATTTTCTTTTATGATATAAATAAAAGAAGTGGTAATGGAGTCTATTTTGGGTTGGTCTTTAATTATAATATTGCAATTACTTTATTTTCTGCCGACTTCCAAAAAGGAGACGGTACTCAATTTGACTGTATGTTTTTTTAAGTGTGTTACCTCGATAACTTTTTACTTGGTGAACCGATTTCGATGATTCTTTTTTTATTTGAAAGCTAGTTCTTCTTGTCTGGTTCCATATGAATTTGATCAAGGTAGACCAATAGTTTTTGAGTTATTCTTAATAACTTATATTGAAGTCGGCTGTACAAAATTTTTAATTTTAAATTATACAAACATAAATTTTATTTCCCAGGTACCAAAAGCAAATTGATGAGATCAAGGCAATGCTTCCATATGACCAGATGACAATGGAAGATTATCGTGATGCCTATCCTGACCAAGCCTTGGACCCCATCAACAGGCCTACCTTCTGGCCCCATAACCCTGAGGAGCAGTTGGACTATGTCGACCCTGAGAAGAAGGCCCATGCTGCCCATTAATTTGCTTCGATGATACCTTTGTATAATGTTAGGTTTTCATTTTATATCTCTTGCAGTATGATGTAAATGATTTTAAAAGATTAATCAAATAAAACATTATATGAAGGTTATAGTTAATAATAATGCAATCTTCTGTATAATTTATCTGGTAGGAATAAAATGAATAAACAAATTCCATCATGTTTGTTTACTTTATTTTATTGTTTTAATATTGATGCTGAGACCAAGAAAGAAAGAACATACAAGTGATGCTAAAACCAAGCCAAAACATGCTCAACTTTTTCCAAAAACATGCAAACATGTACACATTGCATCTAAAATAATTTGCAACTGATAATATAGTTATACAAGCATGTGTGTCCATGTGTACTTTTATGTGCTAATAAAGATGTGTGTGTGAGTATAAGTATTGCAATTTTTTCTTAAGAAATTCTCAGGGAATTAACTTTTAAGTTTCACCCCCATGCCTCGGAAAGCATGTGAAGCCGTGGGTCCTGCGCCTGATCTCTCCAGACATATTGGATTGCCATCCTATTGGCCTATAAGAGTGAGGGAGAGAGTGCATCTGTGCTTAGAATACACTTGGGCACTATAATTCTATAATGTGCAGATCATCATTATCATCATCATTACAGCCCTTCACAAGTCCACTGCTGAACATAGGCCTCCCCCAAAGAATGCCACAAAACACGGTCCTGAGCCACCTGCATCCATCGACTTTCTGCATGTCTTACCAGGTCGTCACTCCATCTCGTGGGGGGACGCCCTACACTTCGCCTACCGGTACGAGGCTGCCACTCGAGAACCTTTCTTCCCCATCGGTTGTCGGTTCTTCGAGCTATATGGCCGGCCCACTGCCACTTCAGCTTACTAATCCGTTGGGCTATGTCGGTCACTCTGGTTCTACTGCGGATATCCTCATTCCTAAGTTTATCACGCAGAGAAACTCCGAGCATAGCCCTCTCCATAGCTCGCTGAGCGACCTTAAGCTTCCTCATACGGCCAGCAGTGAAGGACCACGTCTCAGTTCCGTAAGTCATCACTGGCAACACGCACTGGTTGTACAATTTCGTTTTAAGGTTTTGGTGATCGGAGAGTTTTTGTGTTCTTCTGCGGCGGGTCTTGCAGAACTTAGCTCCAACCGCATGGACAGTTTCCACGAGCTTGTCATTCATATCGTCCACTTCATTGCAGTCTTCTAGGCACTGAAAACGGTTTTGTAACTCGAGCTGAAAGGTTTCGGGACTTTGAAACAGAGCACGAGGGGGACGGAGCGTTGACTTCATTAGACGAGACCTCTCCAACTTAACGTTTAGGTTCAGTGTGCCTCTAACCATTCGGTGATCGCTACCAGTTTTCACCCTCGCGATCACGGAGACATCACTGAACAGTTGTCGTCTGGTCGTCATAATGAAGTCAATCTCATTTTTTGTGGAACCGTCGGGGCTCGACCAGGTCCACTTCCTGTGGGGCCGCTTCTGGAAGAAAGAGTTCATCATAAAGAGTCCCTCTTTCTCCATGAAGTCGGCCAGCTGCTGGCCCCTTGGGTTCCGTTGCCCTATTCCAAATTTCCCTACTTTCAGCTCACCGTTCTGTCTTGTGCCTAGTTTTGCATTGAAGTCTCCCATTAACACCGTATATTGGGTTTTGGAGGAATGCATGGCTCTAGAGATATCCTCATACATTTCCTCCACCTCCTCATCGGGGTGTGCCGAGGTTGGTGCGTAAACCTGTATGACCTTCAGCGAATACCGTTTGGTGATTCTGAGTATAAGGTACGCAACCCTCGTCGACACACTCCCGATTTTTACAACGTTGTTAATGAGAGACTTGTGGACGATAAATCCGACACCTCCTTGGGACAGATGGTCGCCCTCCCGGTGATAGAGCAAGTTGCCGGATTCGAGGATTACCGTGTCCTCCCCCTCTCTTCGGACTTCAGATAATCCTATAATATGCCAGCGCAACTTGTCTATCTCTTCTTCCAGCTCCACGATCTTCTCGTCAGTCCTCAGGGTGCGTGCGTTGTACGTTGCCAGGTCGAGTCGTCTAAGGTGGCAACCGAACCTCCACCGGAGATTCTTAGCACCCCCTGCCCCGCCGTTACCATGGTCGCCACCGTAGCCAGGAATAGCGGGGCCGCCGGGGACTGGGGGCCGTTTTTTTGTTGCTCTCATCATTGGGGGGTATTTGCCATAGTTGCCACGCTTGGCGAGCGGGTTGGCAACCGCAGTTTTTTTTATTGTCATTTGGCTATTATCAGGAAGATGCTGCTGCCCATCTCCTGGCTGTTTCCCTTTGTCGCCTTTTACGACACCCACGGGAGGATATGGGGTAGTGGATATTCTTGACCGCCACTACACGGCAATGTGCAGATGTGCAGATGGCTAGTCTAAATTGAGACTGCTGTGGTCGAAATTCGGTCTGGAGAACATTACTATTTTTATTATTCTCTTTGTATCCTTATTATTATTATTGAACCCTGCATAGCTGCCTAACCATCGCAGCGAGTACGAGCAATTTCTCATGATTAGGCCCAGTTGCTGTATCCTAAAGAAAGTGAGAGATATAGAGTATATGGACAGAACTCATCTATGGCTATCATCATCATATTGTTGTATATCATCCTTATAGCCTCCACCAAGGAATGCCACAAAGCAAGGTCCTGAGCCACCTGCATCTATTGATTTCCTGTATATCTCTCCAGGTCATACATACGTACCGTCATATATGGGGACAATCTTGTCCCAAGAACAGAAATAATTCATGTTTTTACTTAATTTTTTTTATAGGATAGGGTGACAAACGAGCACACAGTCCACCTGATGGTAAGTGGTTGCTGGGTTGCTGTGACCCATAGACATCTACATTTATCCTCAATAAAGAATCAAAATGCAGATGCGTTGTCACCCGGTGAGGACTAAGATGGAATGCCTCGAAAGGGTCTCCGGTTCTCTACACTCACCATACGAAACAGCAGCGTTATGCTGCTATTTTGTGAGAGCGTCGTCCTTCCCCGGTCGAGCCGACCCATACGTGGTACAACTATACCACTAATATAGCTGCAGCATGGCTCTATCACGTACAAAATTCTTATCTAGTTGATACAAATCCCTTTCTATTTCGGAGTCCATCTGGTTTGCATAGGCACCACCCTCTAACCTATTTCTGTCAACAAATAGCAGTGCTTGCAGTACTATGTACAGGTCTGAAGAGAGCTCATAGAGCCAGTATAATTACCTACAGACTGTGAGGCACTCCATCTTAGTCCTCAAGATGTGACAACGCATCTATAGCTTTCTCAGTTTAAAGTTGGCTGCAGGTGTCCTTAACTGCAGTAGCCACTAACCATCAGGGAGAAGTCCGTTTGTTATTTCAGTTTTATATTTATTTACTTGCTTTTTAGTGTGTATACTGTTAAATACTATATATACATACTAAGTCCCTAATGGAGACATGCAAATTTATGTAAATTCTGTCTTCTAATTTTATTTTTATAAAAAATGTTCATTCTGGGTCAGATTCAAAGTCGATTTCAAAGCCGTAGGTTATCTGTTACTCTAACGAGGTCTAATAACCTCACGCTCAGCAAATGTCGCTAGTAGTAGTAGACTAATATTTCAGAAACATTAATCTACTCATAGAAAATAATTCTATGAATCTACTTTTTAACAAATTTACTTCCTCCACAAATCTGTCAAATATTTAACCTCTTTCTTAGTGTCGCGCTGATGGCAATCAAGTTGTGGATGATCATGGAAAACTAATGCTGTTCAAGCAAATTGTATATTCAAAACAATCTCCAACTATTATAACTTAACAGATCAGGTAAGGTACGTTGGGGTAATACCGGACGGATTTTCGAATAGTTGGAAGAGTCTGCCAAAAACTTTAATTTCATAATGAAAAATTGGCCATTAAGGGGTAAGACCGGACTTAAATTTAAAACCACTTCTACTGCTTAGAGAAAAAAGTTATAAAAGAGATTTGTCCTATCTTTAACGCTCAAAAACATATTTCAATATGATCTATAAATTACTAGAAACATAAATGTTCCAAACGATTTTCTCTTTTTTTGTTTCTTGCCATCCGATCTTATCCCTGATATAAGGAAATTGTAATTTTATGTTTCTCAAACTTTGTTATGACATGAGATGGAATTACTCAATATAAGAGAAAGATCGGGTGCATTTGATTTTATATGGGAAAAAAAAATAACAGTAAGGACTGGCGAAATGCCCTGGGATAATGCAGGAGTTAAGGAAGATATAAATATTTTAACAAAGCGGCATTTATTATTATAAATTATTTTTTAAATAATTATTATAAATTACATTTTGATTTGTAATAGAGGATAGATATAGATGTCTATGGGCCGCAGCAATCACTTAATTTCAGGTGGACTGTGTGCTCCTTTGTCACCCTTATCCTATAAAAAAATGTATTTTAATGTGTACTTAAAAGTAATAAAACCATCGTATTGTTTTATTACTTTTAAATATACAGACTTGCTAACGAAACTGAGTCCCATAGTCACTTGAGTAATCAACGAAAAAATATACACGACCAATGAAAGTTTAACAACCACTGCCATATTTGTAATGGGCAAAGATCGGATAATATTCATCCGATCTTCACTCACGAGGGGAAACATCGCATCTCGGCCTACAGCGATCTTACCCCTGCATGGACCAGCTTTATTTAGCTATAACTTCATAAAAATTAGTATCCACACAAAATAATAACAAAAGAAGCCATATTCTCGCTAAAAATCGTAAATAAAAGTGATAGGGAAAGATCGGATGGACAAAAATAATACAAAAATTACATTGTTTTATAAAATGCCACGCAGCACAGGTCCCTCTTGCCGGAGTGACTGGCGCGAACTGAGGGCCGGGGCAGGATGAAATGGCGTCGTGTAGCATATTGTTAGCTTTTCAAAATATAGCATAATTCGCCGGGAATTTGAATCCTACGGTCTTGCCCCATCACCGATCTTA